CTCACCCACCCCCCCCCCCCCCCCCCCCCCCGTGTCCCTGTTTGTGACGTACAAGTTTTGTCGAGGGACGGGACGGATGACTGTTCGCCAGGCCAACTCGACGGGATTCGCCGAATCAAGGGGAGGGCGACCCCTGGAAGTCCGGGGCGGGTGGCTGCATGACGGGCGGATATGAGCTGGGAGGGGAGGCTGGTCGATTATGATTCTCAAGGTGCGCGGTGACGGGGGGGAGGAGGGAACCCGTCTGGGCGAGGAGACGACATGGCGACATGGGGAGATGGCGACCGAGGGCTGGACAAGACTGATTCGGTCCTTTCGGGTATCAGGCCCCCGCTCGTTGCCTGTAGAACCCGATCCCGCTGTGGGGGGGAGGGATCCCTCGTCTTTTTTTTTTTTGTCTGTCTCTCATACGCACACGCCCTGGCTATTTCTTGGCGACAAGGACAGGTACCCAAGTAGGTAGGTGTCCGCGCACACACGTCCACTCACTCTAGCAGGCTACGCGGCAGGAGGGCAACGGCGATGCCTAGTCACGTTTCCGCCGATGAAAAAAAGTCCGCACCTCCTCGGTTTAAAGGAATTAGGACGTAAGGCAGGTGACCCGAACCCGCTCGTTAGATCATGTGTGTATGTGTGTGTGTGTGTGTGTGTGTGTGTGGCTCCAGCTCGCGCCATATCAGCTGTAGGCGTTATCGTCTGGCGTCCCACTAATGTTTGTTGATTGCCTTGTGGACTTTTCTTGTTGGAAGTTGGGCCTTGACCTGATTCATGGACTATGGCCTGTCCTGTGTTATCGTTTCCTTGGAACGGGGCCTAGCGCGAGGCCTCCTCTTCTGCTACAGCAAGGGGCAGCGGCAGCCTGAGCTGGGGGGGAGCTACTGGATGGTGACTGGGAGGAAAACATAGAAGGGAGTCGAAATGGGATAAAAGTGCTGGTGATGTGACGGCAGTCCGCAAAGCGACGTGTCACATCCCAAACCTCCCTGGTATGCCTTCTGCCGGGGAGCTGTGGGGTGGCGGCGGAGTGATCTCTGTCGAGCGGATATGTGTTCTACCCCCATTGCTCAGGTCTGATTATCGAATATGCGCCTAGATGAACTCGGCAGTCTGTCTCTTCACACACATACACGAGATATCACATCCTACCCCTCAAAAATGACTACGCGTAGCCCCACTTCTGATGGCTGCCGTTGGATCTCTTGTCTGCATGCTGCCAGCGCGCCCCGGTGCCGGCTGCTGGTTGGTTCCTCGATGGACACCGGGGCGCGTGAGAGGGATAGAGCGAGGGTGTAAATAACAGATCACCCTGTCCAGACACTTTTGTCTGCCAAGCGAGGCACTTGGGCACCTCGGCACCTTGAAAGCAAAGATCTAGCACTATACTACCGCACGAATACTGAGGGACCCCAGCCCAAGATGTCAGCGAATGACAGCCCCCAGACGCCGAGGAGCTGAGCTGGGCCACCGGTAGCTGATCACATCTCGACGTGGCGAAGCTGTGGTCAAGAGGTGAAAACTACAAAAAATAAAAAATAAAAACTCATGTTGAATCTCGGGCTCGCTCCGTATACGACGGGCTAAATGGCTGATACTTCCAGGGGCTCTGGTGAGATATTATCGAATAACCAAGGCATCCCAAATATACAGATTCCGCGGTGCTTTGTCACCGACTAGCGCCCTAGAGGATACGGTGTACAAGGATCGAGAAGGCGTTCTGTGTGCCGTTTGGTGGCTTGAGCAGTGCTACTACAAGGCTTCCAAGGCTATGCATGCGCCTTGCTGTGATGGTGGTAGGTGGCTATACCATCATGTGGCGGATGCTACCGACTGAATGAAACGGAAGGACTGGCGTGCTTACTCGGCGTGGTCCGTGGAACTTGTCTAGTTGTCGGAAGGATCGTCCCCGTCGCTATCGGCGCCAGACGGATCGCCGTTGTCCTCGTCTTTATCGTCGTCGTCGTCGTCGTCGTCGTCTTGGTCGTCATCGTTATCATCTCCGCTATTTAACGAATCGCCACGGATTTGATCTCCTCTATCGTCATCTCCGTCGTCTTCATCGTCATCGTCGTCGTCGTCCCCGCTCAGCTTCCTCTTCTTCCTCCCGCCCTTGGGCGCAGGGGGCGGCGGCACCTCGCCCTTGCGGTAAAAGACATAGCTCCGCGCGGCCCTGTCCTCGCCCCGCCAGGCGGCGCTGCTGACGTCGCCCTTGCCGCCGGCGGAGCGGACGACGCCGAGGGTGCGGGCGTGGCGGTAGCCCGGGTAGGCACCGGCGCTGAAGGCGAAGCTGCGCCCGACCTGCAGGCCCGAGTGGCGGGCCAGGTCCCGGACGTTCCAGAGCGTGTAGGGCTCGGCCTCGAACAGGGTCACGACGATGGCGCCCCCCGGCGCCAGGCAGCGGCGCGCCGAGGCGGACCCGAAGAAGTCGACGAGCAGCTCCTGGTTGTAGCGCACCTGGCGGTTGACGTCGGTGCTCTTGCCGCCGACGTGGGGGAAGTTGAAGACGATGCGGTCCCAGCAGGTGCCGGTTTTGGTACTGCTGTTGCTGCCGCTGCCGCTGCCGCTGCCGCCGCCGCCGCCGCCGGTCTGCTTGCTGCGTTGCTTGCCGCCTGGTAGCGGAGCCATCTTGCGCGCGTCGACGCCAAAGAGGACCCTGTTGCTTTTTGTGCTCCTGGCGCTGCTGGCGTCCGCATCACAGCCAGCCGGCGGCGTCGGCGAGGACGACTCGATGGCCTTGACGTTCTCGGCCGCGTGCGGGTACTTGGCCACCAATTCGTCGAGGTCCTTCTCCAGAACGGTGGCGGTCACGTCGACGCAGCCATGGTGCTCGACCAGAGACCTCGCGAAGCTGAGGTCGCCCTCACCGACCAGAAGAATGGAGTCCGAGGACGAAAATGGTATGGTGGGTCGCTGGTTCTGCTGCTGTTTCTTGGGTTTGGTGGGCGCCTTTGCTGCCGATGCTGATGCTGATTTTGATGCTAGGTTCTGGCCGGGTTTCCCGTGGCTCTTGCCCGGCTTGGGGACCTTGTGTTTGAGCCCCGGAGTGCCGAGCCCCTTGAGCTGGCCCTTGAGCCTTGAGCCGTGTTGCTGGACCTTCCGCCTCTTGTTGGACATGGTCTTTTCTCTTCAACCAGGTACGTGGTGTGACTTTTAGTCGTCTTTAATCTCTTCCCTTGGTTTCTGCTACTTTCTCACGTGCTCGAGACGGGAAGAAACCTGATCTTCTCGAACACGCAGTGAGTTGCTGGCTGAGCAGAGACGAGGCTGTCGGTCGGAGCGGTGCAATATCAAAAGACGCGCCTGGCAGTTGATTGGCTGGTCGAAGGGCCTTCCCGAAAACTTGGGGCCTTGGGCCTGACCAGGGAGCCAGGCGAATCGGGTGGATCGGGCCTTGGTCCAACTTGGGGAAATAGGTGGGTCTGGGTTGTCTTTTGACGCAAGCAGCTTCCCCTGAGAAGCCGAGCCTACAGTAGGTAATAGGTAATAGGTAATAGGTAATTATCGCGACAGCTTTCTTGGGCCTGGTTTCCACGCCTTTCGATCGGGCAAAGGTTGAGTGTCGAGTGGCAGCATTGGGTTGATAGTGTCACGTGTCGGGCGTCTGTCCTGCCTGGCGCATATCCTGGTGCCCGGGCTTCCGTTGCCAGGCGAGGCCAGATCAAAGCTCAAAATTCGACTGTTCGTGATTGGGCCAGGCGCTAGGGTGGCTGGTGGCAGCTGCATGCATGTATCCAGGACCTGCTTAGGACACGGCGCGAACACTTCAGCCGGCTCCACCGCCAGACGCGGCCCGCAATAGCCACCGTCAGCCGCTCGTCTGCCTGCTGTCCGCCTCTTTGCTCCTCCAGCCGAGTTTTCATTCAGTCAAACGGAGATTGACATATACATATGCCCGGGAGGGGAAAACGTCGTTTCTCGAAAGCACCGCTGTCGTAGCGTCTGGCAGGAAAACAGAGCTTGTCTGACCGCGGACCAAAAGCAAAATCCAAATCCAAATCCATCTTCCTCGAGTCCGGCGCCCGGAAGAACACACCAGGTAAGCTGACGAAGCGAAAAACAATCTGTTTGCTGTCATCTACATATCGCGCCCTCTACACGAAAGCAATTATAGAAACTGGTAAACTGGTAAACTGGTAGCCACCCTCTCTACGCCTTAACGTACACCTCCTTTCGGCTAGGTTGCATGTAGTACACGTGACGAAGCATGACCCGTAGCCTTCCTTGACCAGCCCGGAAATGACCAACGCGGTGAGAGAAAAGTTTATGGATTTTGAATGCCTTTGGGCTTGAAGCTTCCTGCTATTTCTCTTTGGGATCCGCCACAAAAAAAAACCCGATGGTTGCGAAATGCCAGTGTGTGCCGTCGCCTGTGACTTGGAGTTGGTGGTGTCACACGTTGCCTTTGACTTGGAATTGGTCATGGTCGTGTCCGGGTCATGGGGGCCTCGTGGCTTGGGATGCGATGCGATGCTGGGACTCGGATTAGGAGTGACTGCCCGGCCCCATTGCTTCATCTTACGCGCATTGCTTGCATGGCTGTATTTGTTCTGGGAGAGCCGCACGTAAACACGTAAACAAGTAAATGGGTAGGCCGGTACCTAGGGAGGCAGGTTGGTTGTACCCAAGTAGGCAAGTATATACACGCAAATGCAAAAACACACACGCATGCGTCTCCAGTTGGATCAAGGCCACCAGTCCCTTGTCCAAACCAGAGCGCGCGCGTTTCCAAACGTTTCTGGGGCGGTTCGGGCTCGGTGGCTGGCAGCACAGTCCAGCCGTGGTGGCTCAGGAAGAAATGCGTTCGGAGGAGCGTCTGCCCCAGGGGGCCAACCCAGCTGAGGGTCAAAGTACATGTCAGGTACCTCTGGGCCCCGGGCGGCCCAATCAGCGCTGTGGGAAAGAAGAGCGGGGGTGTTGATTGGCTGGCGCGACAGAAAATCCGGCAGCCGACCAGGCGTCGAGACCCTTTTTGGGGCAAGGGCCACAGGTACCTGGGTACACGCTTGGCGCAGCCGATGGATGCGTGCAGCGCTGGGGTCAATCGCTTCGCTGCGGCGCTGGTGTTATTGATGCATGAAAATCAGGACGACCGCTCTCTATTGCCTTGTCGCATCGCCACCGACGCCGACGACGCTGTCCCGGCCGGCCATTTGCTGTCGACTGTCTCTGCCGTGTCTGATTCTGAGCCTTCTTTTCTTGTCCTTCCTCTCCCCCGCGTGGCTCCGTGTCCGTCGTCGTTGCGGACCAGGCGCCCGAGGCTGCAGAGTCTTGTTGTCGGAAGCGGAAGCAGGCTAGGGGTTGGCTTTTTCCACGCCCGTCTGTCGCTCCGCTCACCCTTTCTTCACTCCATTCTCGCTTTGAGCACGCCGGCGGTGGCGGCAGGACAAGAAGCACCACCAGCCGCGATAGTCGCTGCGGACCCGTGCCCTCGTCACTGTGTCTGGTCGCTGGCTGGAGGAAAAAAACCTACACGTCGGCTGTTCTTGGTCCCTTTGCTCGCTGCCCACTCACTCGTCTTTGGTCTACGCAGCCCACACAAACCCAGCCCATTTCTCTCCCTCTGCATCCAACTGTCAATAACCCTTTTCACGCCATTCTACAAACCGCCAGCACCACAAACAACCTCGCCCGCCGGCCGCGCTGCATTTTGTGCATTTTGTCATTCGATACCTGCGACCCACACCTTGCGCTCTGTGGCCTCGTGTATTTCTCTCTCCCGCTCCCAAACAGGATCAGCCCAGCCCAGCCCAGCCCAGGCCGAGCTGCCCGCCTGTCACACCCCATCTCTCTCACATATCATTCCTCACATTCTCGCTTGCTCTTGCCGCCGCACCTCCGAATGGCATTATGAGCGACACCAACGGTCACCACACCGGCAGCCCGGCCAAAGGCAGAGGCCGCGGCCGGGGTCGGGGAGGCTACGGTCGAGCTGCTGTCGCCAGGGCTGCCGCCCGCAAGGCCGCGGCTGCCAACGCCCAGCTGAGCCTCAAGCCCACCGACGGCTCCCACCGCACCCAGGCTGTTGAGGAGAGGGTCAAGGAGCTGAGGAATGCCTTCGCCGCCGTCTCCAACGCCGTCAGGCCCGCTCTGGAGGAGCTCGCCGACCGCAACGTCGACCTGCTCCGGGACCAATTCAATGCCCACACAGAGGTCACCGCCTTCAAGCAGATTCGCAAGTTCCTTGATACCCGCTCAAAGGACGCTCTAGGCCTAGTAAGCCGTCGGTATGAGGCCGATACCTCGCAGGCCAAGAGGACCTACGAGGTCCAGTGCATCTTCACCCAGCTGGACTACCAGGTACGTTCCGTTCCGCTTTCTTGTTTTTTCCGCCTGATCAGCCCTGCTTGCTTTTCTTCCGCTCCCTCCTTGGCCGAGCATCCCTGCCACCCGCCAATTACCAAAAGCACGCCCGCTAACCCGCCACTTCCCTGCGCCTTGAAGAGGAAATTCGACGAGGCCACTGAGGAGTTTTACGACGCCCAACTGCGTCGCCTCGACATTCTAGAGCACATGAGAAATCACAGGCTCCCCGTCGATGTAAGTCTTGGAGCCGCGTCATCCTTCCTTTCGCCCCTTCCCTCCAGCTTCGTCCATCTTCGTCCATCTTCGTCCCAATCTTTCCCCGCCCGTCTGCTCACTCACCCCGTGTCTATGTCTAGCTTGAGGAGGATGCCTACAATTTCCTCGAGGTCTCCCAGGAGAGGCTCGACTGGCAAAAGGCACACGTGGAGATGGCAAACGGCGTCGAGGTGCCATGCGCCAAGATCATCCAAGCCCCTCACGTGGTCCGCATCGAAGAGGCTCGCAAGGAGCAGCTGGCATCCCTGCACTCGGCGCAACCTTCTCCCGCAAAGCGCAAGGCTGATGCCGAGCTCACCGGCCAGGGCCCACCCAAGCGCCCGGCTAGTGCCCTGGGCACCGAGGCCCGGCCCTCGTATATTCCTCGCCATATCGGAGGTCTGCTCTCTGCCAACGCTGTCGATGACAACGAGACGCCGAGCCGTGCGCCGAGCCCGGTGGGCTCCAAGCTCCCGTCCCCATCGCCCGAAATGGCGCTCAAGACGTCTGCCGATGGCGAGCTGTCGTACCTCCCTGCGGCAGCGTCCGACCCGGATGAGCACGGCGTTCGGCTGATCAGCAGGAGACGGCCCGCCACGGTGGAGAACTATAACCGCCTCATGCTGCCGTGTCTGTTCGAGTACGAGGACCACGAAATAGGCTTCCGCGACTCTTTCAACGACCGGACCCGTTACAAGTCAACCCGGCTACCGCAGTTCTTCAACCAGCCCAACTCGTTTGCCTTCTTTGTCGATCGCATGATCAGCAGCGTCGACATCGGCAACTACGAGGATGGCGATCTGAGCGACGAGCTGATCCAGAAGCACGGGCTGCACCCAAAGTATGGGCTCTTTCTCAAGACATCCCGGAACGACGCAGAGCCCCCCCTACCCAAGGCATCAGGAGATCGGCCCACAGTATTCATCGCCCCCACTGGCGAGACTCTCCACGCATCCAGGACCATTTCCCGAAGCAGGCTCGATGCCCACAACGAGGATAGAGAGCTCAAGTCGGTTCTCGCGAAAGCTCTCGCTACCTTCCGTGAGCGCGAGGCATTCGCCCACCGCGAACTCTGTCCGACAGCCCTCGACAAGGAGGCACATCGCAATGCCATGCTGAAGGGCCGCGACCATCCCCTGCCGTCCCCGGCCTACCTGTCCGCTTCCAGGTCCCCGACGCCGCAGCCAGAGCAGGCTGTTGCCACACCGGATGGCGCTCTCGACGCCGAAGACCAGGCTCGTGGAGACGATGTGGTAGAGCCAGACGCAGAGGATAGAACGACCTTTGAGGCTGCCATCGCCGCTATCCTCGACGCCGCCAACAGTGTCAACGACGAGGAGACTAAAGCTGCCGCTGCTTCCCAGCCAAGACGCACGCGATTTGATCCTGTGCGTGACGTTGTCAGCTCACCTGAGCCAGCGCCAGTTGCGAAAGTCTCAACACCCAATTCCGAAGACGACTTCTCCATGCTCTGCATCATGGCCGACGTCGCATCCGAAGCACCCCGTCACGTCGAGCCAATCGCCCTCGAGCTGGCTGAGCCCTCCGAGCACCCTAATCCAGAGGGAGGCTTCGCTGCCGCACATATCGACGCCGAGCAGCAGCAAGGATCCATGTACCCACACATTCCTTCTGGCCCTGCTTCTACGCTGGTTCTTCAACAACACGGCGCACCCGACGGCTACTATGGTCACTCTATCCCGTCGAATTCGGCTCCGGCACCACCCCATGCCACTGGCATGCAAGGCCCCATGCCTCCTCAAGAGGAGGCCTACCACCGTCGCTCCTCGGCCGATGGGTACTACATCGATCCCGCCTTGGATCCTCGCCTATTCAGTGAGGCCCAACCCGAGCAACAGCCACATGGACCTGACGGGTATTCTCAGCAGCAGAACGGTAGCAGCAATGGGGGAAACCACTTCCTCCAGACGGCCTTGAACCCAGCGTCAAATTATGGTGCGGCCCCCAGCGCTGCTCCCATGCCTTCAAGCTATTATCAAGGAGAACCCCCCTCGGCTCAGTACCATGATATCTATTCCCCCGCGACATCCTATGCCCACCCACGGAGCGAAACACCTCCCTACAGGGGCACCTACAGCTCGTCCACTTTTGGTTCCCGCACAGGCACTCCTGGCCTACCCATGTTGCGCACCGGCAGCGGTGGCCCATTCTCACACCAACTCATGGACGCCCAAGAGGCGACAGAACCGACCGGAGGCCCTCAGCAGGCGCCTCCTCCCCAAAACGCGATGCACCCCAACGGCGGCAGCACATCCTCCTATCCCCTGCCTCCCGTTCCGCCTCCCATTCGGCAGCACTATCCTGGCAACGTGGATTCGATGCATGACCAGATGCCTGTGCCAAATAAACAAGCTCCTGTTTTTGTTCAAAACTTTCTTCGCGGTATTGGAACCGAGGAGCCCCAGCAACAGCAACAGCAGCCACCACCGCACCACGGCGGAACTCCGTTTATGGCGCCACCAGGCATGCACCCACCACCGCCCCCAATGCAGCATCAGGTACTATACCCGCACCAGTATGGACCGCCTGTGCCTCAGGGCCACTACCAAATACCACCTCCGTACCCTCCGTTCCCGCCACATGGCCACCAGCAGCAGCCCATGATGATGCAGATGGACATGGCGTCCGCTCCGCCGCCGCGACAGGCGAGCCGATCCAACAGCAACGGAAACATCATAAACATCGCGCCGGCGCCACCTGGAGGTAGCCATCATGGTGTCAACGGTAATGGCACTAATGCCAACGGCAACAACATGAGCAGTAACAACGCCAACAACAACAACAACAATAACAATAGCAAGTATCGAAAACTGGAGCCGGCGCCGACGCCGCCTCACCGCCGCGGCGTGGGCAGCAACGGTCCGGAGCTGAGGACGGTTCAGTTCGACTACGAGACCATCAAGGACTACGAGCCGACCGAGCCGCCGCCGCGCCACGGACCTACCACGATCCGTGGTTGGACGTACAACAACATCAAGAAGCCCAAGGTCTCGAACCCACCGCCGACGCCCAAGGAGTGAGCGCCAGTCAGGTCCCGGGGTGAAAGCCATCTCTCGTCTGGATACTAGGCCGCCTTCCGACCCTCGTGTCGGTTCGATTTCTTTGTCTCGAGCCCGAAGCCATGTGCGGGCCCGGACTGTATATGCTTTGGTTGATTTCTTCTCTTTCCATTAACGAAGGAACGGTCGGGAACGATGATACCCCTTGCGTTTTTCTCCATCATTGTCCATGTTTCTTAGCCACCTTGCACGACCTTTGTACTTTATCCCCCCCTTCCTTTACCACTGCTACCGCCTGGACGTCCGCGTGGCGAAAGACCAATCACTCTTGTTTACTGAGGATAAACAAGGTGCTCTTGGTTATTTGCCTGCCGGCACTGCCTCTCCTTGGTCCTCGACCGAGGCTCTTTTTTTCTTCCTCCACTTTCTGTCAACATTTGGAAGCGACGGCGCTCGTCACATCATCTTGCACCATTCTGGACATGCGTCACACACACACACACACACAAAAAGGGGATTGGTCATGTTTTCTTTGCTGAAGCATTGGCATCCTTCGACCGAAGGACGACCCGGGCGTCAATTCTTGGTTGTGTTTTTACTGGCTTTGATGGCGCCGAAAAGGATTCTCTCTTGTTTTTTCAACCCTTTTTCTTTTCTTCTTCCGTGCGCTTGTTCTGCCCTTTCTTTTTCTCCTTCTCTCTTTACCATCGGCATAAGGGGCATAAGGGACATAACAGGACAGTCATTGCATATACATTACGATGGCATTTGTGGAGAATTTCTGTCGTGTTTCCATACACGAGACAGGCAACTGACCTTGCAACTCGGGCTCAAGTTTGTTTTTGCCTGTCTTGGACTCGACTTGCCTGTCTTGGACTCGACATACAGAGACACATGTCCGCCATCTATCATAATCGAAGTGTTTTTTTCACGTTCCATCCAGGTCTTCCAGTTTAATCTTGTTGTCTTTCCTCCCGTGACAATCGCTCGAGCTACTCTCCTCGTCGTCGCCTTGTTCCTCTTGTCTCCAGATCTGATCCCCCGGCTTCCAGTCCACCCGCCGCTCGCTGACCCCTGGCCCAAGCGCAACAGCCTTTGGCCCAACAGCGGTTCGCCTCCCCAACCTCGTAGCGCCACGACGCCAGTAAGTTCACAATTCACGATAGGGGCCCAGCGCCCTCCCCCAGCCTCGCAAATAAGCAAACAGCAGCCCTTCCTTCCCCTTTTGGCGCCCCTACAACCAACCAACCAACCAACCAACCAACCAACCAACCCAGAACTCCCCAGGCCATATCAGCAAGCCCCATCCTGAGGATCCCTACCGATCGGCCGGAATCGCACGGGTTACGCAAGTCGAACGACCGACGCTCCCGAACCTTGGCGAGACCACAACCGAGACGACCAAACCCTGTTCCCCGAAGTCGACGGTTCGAACCCGACTGCGACCAGAAAACATTTCCTTTGGACAAACGACAAGAAGAAAAAAAAAAAAGCAGAGGGGGGTGGGTGCCCCGAGGGTGGTTGGGCGGGTGGGCGCCTACCCCCCCTTACCTCCCCAACTAACCCAACATGCTGTAGCGTAGTGTAGAGCCCGTCCAGTGTAGTCCACCCGCCGCCGTGTTGTCCGCTGTAGAGTCCGTCCATGCCCGCCCACTTACCTGTAAAGTCCACCACACCCGTAGAGCCCGCACTTGTAGAGTCCGCACCTGCAGATCCCGTCCAGCGTAGCCTACCCATCATTCTGTCCGCTGTAGAGCCGTCCACGTCCATCCACCCGCTTGTAAAGTCCACACTTGTAGCGTCCACACCTGTAAAGTCCACACTGTAAACCGAAGCAAAACCTCAAGTGAGGTTTTCGTAGCTGTCCACCCCCATCCGGGGTTGGGCAGTGAGCTTTTGCCATTCGTTACACAATGTATTGTTTATTATTATTTCCGCTGCTAGCATTTTCTTTTCCTTATTTACACTATTATTTACCAACTACCTCGCGACTTTTTGTGTATTTTCTTTTTTTGAAAGAAGAGAAGGGCACTTCAATCTGCTAGGAATTGCGTCGCTACACCACGGCGTTTCTGCCTTCTTGTTTGTCTTGCTCATTTTTCGCTTGTGCTTGCACGAGTGTAGTTCGAAAGTCGACACGCAAATTCGGTTTGTTTTTTTCAAGTTGAACAAAGTATCTTTCAGCGCCGATAAACTGTATTGGCAACACAGAAAAAAACAATGCGAGTGGTTAAAACCTCGCAGAGCGTCGACTCGACGCAGATTGGTCCCCCACCCAACCTTGGCCAACCTGGCTGCGGCTGGACGCGGCGGTTTGCGTGGGAGCCCTTTTTGAGTTTGACTATCAAAGGGGGTATCGTTATACCATGTCGCGCGCACTCCTCTCCGGAGGCACAGAAGGCGGTTGGCACCCCAGCACCAACAACTCCCCGTCTTGGCGAGTAGCAAAAGAGGTAGAGCCATCCAACCACACTCCTCTCCAAGCCTCCTGGCCAAAAAAAAAAAAAAAAAAGCACCTGGTCTGCCGCAATGAGGCTGACCGACCGACAAGCCAGCCCGTCCATCCCGCTCGTGTTATCTCAACCCCACTCCAGAACTCTTGCCGAGTCCAGGGGAGAGACAGAGAGAAAGAGAGAAAAACAGCAAACAACCTCCTCCCAAACAAGAAAGTAAAGCTCAGTAAAGCTCAGTAGAAGGACTCGACCATGGTGTCCTTCATGTTGGTGTTGATATTGCTCGGGCCCAGGCCCTCGCCCAGGCGGAAGACGCTCTCGACGACGCTCAGCTCGGTGGCGGTGGTGTCGAGCCCCGTGACGGCCATCCAGTCGTTGACGACCATGCCGGCGCCGACGACGTTGCTGCCGCGGTTGATGGAGCCGGCGACCAGGGGCACCTGCAGCAGGCTCGAGAGCTCGTCCTGGTCCTGGATGCTCGTCTTTGGGTGCACGAGGCCGCCGTGGTTGGAGAGGGCCATGTAGGAGCCCACGAGCACGTTGTCGGCCACCGTCTGTCGGAACACCTCGACGCCGAGCACGTCGGCGATGATCTCCTCCGTCTCGCGCTCCAGATCCGGGTGGACGAGGGCGATATGGTCGTTGGTGGCGATGACGTTGCCGAGCGCCGACAGCCGCTCCTCGATGCGCTGGATCTTGACCTCGTCGGGCAGGCTGTTGCGCAGGTGCTGCAGCTCCTGGTCCGTCGTGCTGGTCGGTACTAGCAGGCCCTTGCGGTTGCTGTGGAAAGGCGGGCGAGTGTGAGCGCTTGGTTCCTTCCCCTCACTCCTTTTGTTCCTTGGGCGCCTTGGGGTGGGGGGCCCCTTTTATCTTCTTCCTCTCGCCCCTGGCTTTGCTTACCCTGCTGTTAACCGTCCCACTATCCTCATGCCCGCAATGCTGGTTCTGCAGATGGGGATGACATCCTGGAGCTCGGCCTCGAAGACGCTGTAGAAGTTTTCGCTCGCGCCGAGCGCGACGAGCGAGTATGAGTTTGTGAGGGTTGCAAAGACGCCAACTCTGTTGGTTTTTGCACGTGTTAGCAGATTTTCTTTCCTAGCTACAAATCAATCACAGGTGCCGCACGAGTCGCTGGGAAGCAGAGCTGGCGTGTTTCCTGCCAGCATTAAAGCCAAAGGGCAGGAGCAACAGAGGCAGCCGCACAAGCCGCACAACCGCTGGCGGCGCATTGGGAGAGAGGATGGGGCAAGCATGCGGGGGGCACTAACTCGTTGGAGTTCTCGAATTGCGCGCGGACTGCCATGGCTTCGGTGGTTTCGTCTTGTTCTGGGAGAGCCGGGCTTTTTAGAGGCAAAGGGTCTTATGTGGATGAAGATGGGATTCGAGGAAGCCGGCTTTGAGGAAGTCGACTGGGCAAGAGGTGGGGGTGCTGTCTGACAGTGCACATAAAATTTCGAGCCATTGTTGCTGCTGCAGCACCCCGCAGTTATACTAATCCGCCGCTTCTATCTCCGCTACCTCAGCATGAGGTATGGGCCCAGCAGTTCGGATGACTCAGTATGGCTGCAACCCAGCTGGCCTTGATGCGAGTCTCAGGTCCTGCAAACCTTGCGACAGCCATTGATGTACATGGCAATTGATGCAGGCGCAGCAGCGCCTGCCGATGGGGTCCGTCAGCTCCCGGCGACTCCTTGTCCCCCGCCTGCCCGCCAACTCCGCCAACCCGAAGCGTGCTGACCTGCCTACTGGGGCTCGCTCAGGGGCACGCCAATCAAATTAGTCGATGGCTCATAATGATTGGGCTTTGGGCGAAACCACCGCCACAGAGCCCAATAAACAGCAAAAAAAAAAAAAAAAAAAAGGAAAGCAATCAAAACAACATCATATCTCATACAAGTCCAACCGTATCATCACATTTATACATGAAAGCGGCAGAATGGCAACACAGTGGCGACGGCAGCATCTCCTGTGTCCAGTCCGCACATGTACCCGTGGCCAACCCCATGCTTAGCTTTTCCCCAGAAAACGCCTGGCCGCCAACACACTTGACAAATAAGTGAAAATGCAGGCGGTGTGGTTGCCTGCGTAAGGTGATCACCTCAAGTCCACAGCTGGGAAATATCGCGGCCCCGCGAAGCCCTTGGCCACAACCCCCTGGATGTCGATATTGCAGGCGTGGTCGAGTTGCGGGTTCCACATCTTGAGCAGAATGAACCGCCCCGACACTGGGGGATCAAACCGGATCGTACACTTGCTCTTGTCCTTCTCGATGAAGAAACGCGCGTGCGGCGCCATCAACGCCCCGCCGACTGCCCTGACCGCCTCCTGCGTTGCCAGCTGCGACGCCTCGACCACCTCTTCCAGGCTCATGTCACCACCGCCGCCGCCGCCGCTGCCGCCGTTGCTGTTGCCACCATCACCAGCTAGCAAGGTGTGGCCAGTCCGTATGTATTCGCTCACGTTGTCGTCCACCTGGGCCCAATCGTCGCCGCTGTCACTCTCAAACGGCAGCGATCCGATTCGGTTGGGCGTCCGTCGCCGGCCATACCTATAATGGCTACTACCAACATCTCCGCTCCCGCTCTCGTCCTCGCTACACTCTGTCGTGACCCTGAAAGGCGGCGGTGCCAATGTGAACTCGGGTGGCACCTGCGCCGCCAGGCACGTGTCTTCTGGGTCGAAGAGGACGCTGTACATGCGCCGCCTCTGCGTGACCCTGGACGAGCCGTCCTCTGAGTGCCGCACCGAGAGTACGGGCGCCCGCTGATTGCTGCTTGGCCTGGAGCGACTGTACTGGATCTGGTAGTCGGCCGTGCGCGTGAGCAGCTCGTCCTTGTTCATGGATATAAATACCATGCCCTCTCGAACTCTGTGCTCAAAATGTCAGCATCACAGCACCATGGCCGCAGCCACACAGACAGCCCATCGAGGCAGACACTCACGGTGACGAGTAGTTGGAGCCAGGAGCCTTGATGACAAGTTCCTTGAGGCTGAAGACTGTGGCGCCCTGGTGCTTCAAAACGATATTACACCTGCTGCCCTTGGTGCAATAGACCGAGCTGTCGTTCTTGAGTATGTTCTCGGCGGCATATATGCTAGGTCCAGAACCCTCTGTATACATGCCACCGTCGCAGCTGACAATCTCCATGGTCAGAGGGCCCGGCTCGACCTGGCCGTAGTGCCCGTACCTGAAGCCCTTGAAGCTCGAGGTAAGGCGATCCGACGAGTCAATCTTCCGGCGCTTCGCGCGGCGGCTATCCTCGGGCTGGTCTTGGGAGTGGGTTGAGGATGACATGAATGGAGGTGATGGTGGGGGGTTGGTTGGTTGGTTGGTATTGTGTAGGTCCAAGAGAGCCCGGAATGGCGGGGCTGCGTTGTCGAGCCTGAGGTCCATATCGGCGAAGGATGCGTTGGCGGGACTGGGCCGGTACCTTTCGCTCGGGCGGTACCGGTAAAAATGAGAACGGTTCTGGTTGTTTCCCGTGCCACCGCCTGCGCCGCCGCCGCCGCCGCCGCCGCCACCAGCAAACGACATGCCAGGTCCGCGGCGCCCGAGGTGAGAGCGCAATGGCGGGAGCGGAGGCGAGGGAGCGGGCAGGCGTGCCGAGTCTCGGGCCGAGAAGGGCTCGCGGGAGAACCTCCGCTGCAGATTTCGTGAATGGGTACTGCCAAAGACGCTGGTGCTGTCGGGATTATTAGCACCAGTGGGCAAAGAAAGATCGCCGGTGGTGCGCCGGTCTCGGTCGAAGTTGTCGTGGAAGCGCTCTATGACGCGATACAGCTCTCCGGAAGGGCTGACCTCGGCTGCCGGGCGGTCATCGAGGATCGAGCGGACAAGGTCGTCGGCGAATTGCCTCGGTCGTTGGGAGTGATTCCCAGACTGATCGCGGCGGTTAGACGGAAGGTCTGACATTGGGAGGGCACGAGGGGAGTATGGTTGGATGTGAGATTGAGACCCGGGTGCAGAGGTGCGAATACAGGTAGGGGGGACATCAGGTTTGCGCCTGGAAAGTAGGGAGAAGCATGAAGCCTGCTAACCATCAAGGGACACCAAGAAGGCGGAGGCCGCGCAAGATAAAGAGCGAGCTTGTGACTGGCAG